GAAACCAATATTTTACCCTGCCTTAGTCACAATAGCTAACTGATGTTTAACCTCTGGCAATTTACTTTTTATGCTACCCACCCAACTGAACTGTGGATAAATCTGGATGCTTGAACTTTCTTTCCAATTACAGACAACCTCAGAGAAGAGCCATTACTGATATTAACTTGCAAAAGGACAAGGCACCAACTCTCAAGGTGTGCATTTGTTGAGAAAAAGAGTGAATACTATGCTTTACAATAACAGGTTTGCTACACTGGTATCAAACAGGATGAAATGGCAAGTGTCAGCCAACCCACTGTTAAGCAGCTCTATATTTGTGTGTAGTAAATATTAGAAAGGACCACCTACAATTAAAGTCTTTAATTCTATGTGCATTTCATGAATCCCTCTGGTCATTTTGGCATGTGTATCACTGTACACAACAGAAATGCTTTATGGGAAGAGAGGTCTCTCTTGCTTCTTGACCAAAAGAGATGCAGCTGCTCAGCTCCACTCATTTAGTCTGCTGGCAAGGAAACCTAACTAAATACCTTTCAGTTTTGCTAACTTATGCAGTGGGTTTAAATGGAAGTTCAATGGTTTATTTAGACATCTGCCACTACTGCCAAGAAGCTGACAATATTATTGGTACGAATGCCATGATTCACAGCACACTAACCACCTGCAGCCACATCTGCAAAAATGTTGCCAGTATTGTGCATCAACCAGCGGAAGCAGCTGAGATTCTGCAGCACATTCATTCGGTAGCTCAGAAGGTGCATCTGGTGAGGCTGTCACCCAACTCTGCAGGCTGTTTGAAGGTGAGAGAACATTCAGAGAGAAATAAGGTCACTGATGGAGCATACATTTTACCAGCTATCCATGATCGTATCAGATACATATGCAAACATAAATTAAAATCAACAAGTACTGGTTTGTCACCTCAGTTTCCTGCTTTCTATTTCTCCGCATATACTATCAGTGAAATCTTCCCATCTCTGCAGCTGCATAGTCAAATACAATTGTTAGTGGGGGAAAAACACTTTAATGAGGAGTGCAGCTTCTATCTATCTATCTATCATACAAAACTTTTATTTGCTTATTCAGCACAAGCTTATTAAAGGGCAACTACATGATAAACTTAATTCTCTCCCCATGTACATTTCAAAAGCTTACTTCTTCCTCTTTTGTCTACTGGAAATTGTCTCAAGGATATTTTAGAAATGTAGGCCTGACCACTCAATTCTGAGCCTTCTTCCTTACCACATTTTCACTTTTTGGCTTGTCAATATTCAAATTAAAGACTTAAGAATAAAATGCAGAAGCTACTATTTCCTTAGTGTTGGTTCACAAGACGGTTATCTACAGAGCACAGCATCCAAAAGAGACCATTTTCAATAGCATAATTCAGTATCCTCCTGTAAAATCATTGCTATGCAGCTGAATTATGGCTAATTTAGTAGTGTCCCCCGCCCCCCACGTTAATCCCCCAGCACCACTACACCATCTTAACAACAAACAAGTAAATCCTAAAAGAGAAAGTTGGAAAATTAAATAGCCTACATCTGTTTTCAGTCACTCAGAGTTAGATTAGAATCTAGTATTATGTGCATACATGTATCTGTGCTGTTTCCATTACTCTTCCTTTTTAAATCTGCCAGCACACAACAAAGCTCAATCTTCAGTTTGGTAAATGAAAAGGTTTCTAGCTATGTGGAATTCTTATATATTTATTTGCTAAAAGATTACTGCCACCTTAAAATTAAAAAAAAAATCTCTAGGCCAGTTTAAATAAAAACAACAACAATGCAATTTTCAATAAAGTTTCCCCACACAACATAAAACAAAAATGCAACAATTTCACAAGCCACAGAGATCCAGGACAATCAAGGCAGCAAGGAACACACATCACACAACAAAGTGATCACCACATCATGAAGCCATAGCTCTCAACTTTCAGATTTGAAAATAAGGGATCAGCAGCCTCGAAAATAAGGGATCAGCAGCCTCGAAAATAAGGGATCAGCAGCCTCACCTGTCCCGGGGACAGTCTATGGGATATCTAACAATCCGGGATAGCAGCAGGAAGCAGCGGGAAACGGCGCTGGAATAAAGGAATTTCCCGCAAAAAAAGGGAAGGTTGACAGCTATGCATGAAGCAGCCAGGATGGCCATGGGCCAAGAAAACATATAGTAGGCTGCACAGCGGCAAGCATCTTCTTCATATCCCAGGCATCAACAAAGGAAATGGGTCCCACAAAGGACAGCAAAGTGCATCATATACTTCAACACTGTATCAGTGGAAGCACTCAAGTCCGCATGGAGGCAGGCAATGTTGTCCTCAAAGTGCCTTGCAAAATCATCACGGAGACTATGCTCATCTCTTGCTTCTATAAAGTTCTTGAAGTATTTACCATTTGCTACAGCCCTCCAGAAAGCCATGTCCCTCCCCAGTCTTTAAGGCAGCCCTCACCAACCCAATGCCTTTTGTTGTGTTTTGCACTAGAATACTCATCAGGTCCAGCCAGCACTGTGCTCATGGAAGTTATAGTCAAAAGTACCCAGAACATTAGTGGGATGCTTTTCTAGTGGGATTCTCACAGAACACATTCCAGAATTTCAGATATACTTTCAATCCTCCATATAAAGCATTTTGGAGCAGTATTTGGAAAAATAAAAGGCACCATGACTTTGGTGTAGCATACACAGGAAACATTTAATATGCTACCAGTTCAGGTTCACATATTGCAAACGTGATTGCAAACAACTCACAAACTAACTGCTGCACGTTACTTTTTAAGAAAAAAAATATTTACTGAATTTATAAACAGCAGTTCCACTTAAGTGTTCCAAAAAATGTTTATCTACACAGCACTCCTTTCCATTTCCGATGAAGCTATTCTTTGATCAGGTACACACATTTGTTCGTTACTTGATGAGTGCACCTATCAAGCAGTGGCTTGCATTTCTGCATGAGCCACCAAAGTACTTTCACATGACCTCAATAAAATGCAATTCAATGGACTTTGTCTACACTTTCAGCTGTCAGTCATCAGGTTATGCACATGTCTCCAAATACTAAGTTACTCCTTTCCTAGAATTTCAAATTGCATTGCTAACAAATAGTAACCCACATTTAAAGATTCAAGTTAAAATAGCCAGCCTCTCTGCCTCCTATCCTGTTTCTTATTGTAGTTATCAGTGGAGAAAATGAGTAGAAAGAACACAGCAAGTACAAATTGCTTCAGACAGGCTAGATGCCTATGCCATTTCTAAGGCAACAAAAGTACTTGCACTTATTAATGAACTGGGCCAATTTGCTTGGTCTTCTCAGATTTACTGCAAACCTTCCAAGCCCATTTAGATGCCATTTCTCCTTTCAACACTGATCTAACACTATTTGTTTGCAAGTCATCTTGCAATATAAGAAGCACAATGTTAAAACCAGTGAAAACAGTCATGATGCAGCATCGTTCTGTATTTATTCAGTTTACAGAATCTCTGTATTGCTTTTCAATGAATACTTAGAGAGCAGTGCACAACATGGTAATTAAAACAGGATTAAAATTAAAGCACAATCTATGTAAATTAATTCCCTGAAAATAAGCTGAAAAGCGGGGTAAGGTGATGTTTCACAAATAAGCAAAACAAGAGGGAGCTAAACAGGCAGCTGGTGAAAAGGCATTTGAAAGCCCTGATGCAGCTTCTAGGGCCCTGCTTCTTGAAGAAACAAATCTGGCCTCGGAATAAGTTGGAACTAAGAAGCGGGTGGCGCTGTGGGTTAAACCACAGAGCATAGGACTTGCTGATCAGAAGGTTGGCAGTTCGAATCCCCGTGAAAGGGTGAGCTCCCGTTGCTCAGTCCCTGCTCCTGCCAACCTAGCAAATCGAAAGCACGTCAAAGTGCAAGTAGATAAATAGGTACCGCTCTGGCGGGAAGGTAAATGGTGTTTCCGTGCACTGCTCTGGTTCGCCAGAAGTGGCTTAGTCATGCTGGCCACATGACCCGGAAGCTGTATGCCGGCTCCCTCGGCCAATAAAGCGAGATGAGCACCGCAACCCCAGAGTCGGCCCTTTACAGAGGGGTCCCTTTACCTTTAGGAACCGGGTCTCTCTGAATGATTTTACACCTTACAGAGGTATCCGGAGCCTAGGACTGAACTGGGTCCAGAAAACATAGTGGTTACCAATGTAATTTTTTAATTCCAGTATACCATGACCATTCTGACTTAAATTCCAAGCTAAGTCACAGTGGTATATTTTACCAACTGCAGCTTCCAAACCATCTTCACAGACAAACCCAGAAAAAGTGCACTGCAACACTCCAACATAGAGGTTGTCATGAAAGAGAGTGGTCAGGTTTCTAGCTCTCAGGCACGGCTGCACCTGGCACACCACTGAAACTGGACCATAGCTGTCACCTGAAAATTCAGGAATAAAGCTGGGTATGACAAGTACCTCCAAGCTGTAAACAAGTTATTTTAGGAACAGCATAACCCCATCCCAAGCAGGCCTTTCCCCTTTCAATTATTCCACAGCTGCCCTTACTTTCACTTTGGTTGGACTGAACATATTTCACCATGGGTAAAGGCCAAATTAGTTGTTATGCACAGATGCATATAACCTCCTTGCCCTTAAGGGGCGGAAATCGAAACAGCCTGGGGAGGCTGCTACTGGGTGCTTAGCCCCTTTCCTACAGACATTTTTTTCTGCTCAAAATCCAACACAAACTCACTCAAGGGGCTTACTGTTTCTTCAAAAATAGCTGGAGGTGTGCAATTCTGGGGTGAGAATGGGGAAGAGCCAGTGGAAATGGATGGTAGGAATGTTGGTCCCATCTGCCTTTAACATCTACTATGACCTTTTGAATTGTCTTTTATGACAACTGGTCTTGTATAAACGTCAAAAGTATTTTGGAGATACACGCATACACATCACCAAGATAGCAAACTTGCATTGAAAGAAGAGAATACAAGCCAGCAACACAAGAACAATAACAGTTTTCACTTTGTACTCACTCTTACAAAGTTGTCAGGGAACAAACCTCTTCTGCCTTTAAGCTGTCCTTCCCACCAACCTCCATCCTCTTTCCTGATATTGGTGATTATGTCACCGACAGTGATTGTCAGCTCATCATCATGCTGAGCCTTGTAGTCAAACTCCACTATCGCCTCCACTGGAAAGGGAAAAACATAGCCATATGTTACAGAATTTAAACAAAAACGCCCAAAAACACAATTTAAGAAAGCTCAGCAAATATATTTTTGTAGCTCTGCAGATTTAATGAACCACAATTTTAAAATGTGCAGCAATTTCACCAGCAGCATTTAATGAGCGAACAGCTTGAAAAATAAATTTAGGAACCAACACTAAATGTTATGATCAACTATATATATCAGAGAGAGAGATAGAGATCTCATTAAAAAAAAATCCTGGGTGTAATCAGCTATCATTAATAGCATGCATACAATTTATACATGCATACAATTTAATCTAAGTAAAGCTTATCAAGTTATAGAAAAGTGCTAAAGTATACTTAGAACATTAGAGATCTAAACAAAACAGGACCCAAATCAAGAGTCCCAAAACCAGAGTATCTCAGAAATATTTCGTATATGTTAACCACTGATCTACAGTGGATAACATTACAGTGGTACCTCTGGTTACGTACTTAATTCGTTCCGGAGGTCCGTCCTTAACCTGAAACTGTTCTTAACCTGAAGCACCACTTTAGCTAATGGGGCCTCCCGCTGCTGCCATGCCGCCGCTGCGTGATTTCTGTTCTCATCCTGAAGCAAAGTTCTTAACCCGAGGTACTATTTCTGGGTTAGTGGAGTCTGTAACCTGAAGCATATGTAACCTGAAGCGTATGTAATCCAAAGTACCACTAAAGCAGGCAGGTAAAAAATATACCAGATCATATGCTCACTAATTTTAAAAAATAAATTTAAAAACATTTTATGCCCTCACAGTGGCTGATAAATACTATAGCCACAATAAAACAAGATTGGTATAGTCCCTCAATCACGGATCTCAACAGTTTCCCTTATTTTAGCTCAAACCAGGCATGGCCAAACTTGGCCCTCCAGCTATTTTGGGACTATAATTCCCATCATCCCTGACCACGGGTCCTGTTAGCTAGGGATGATGGAAGTTGTAGTCCCAAAACAGCTAGAGGGCCAAGTTTGGCCATGCCTGGCTTAGACCATACTGTAATCACATTTTGCCTTGCATGGAACTGGTTTTCCTGTCACTCGTTTCTTTCTTTATATACTTCTGTTAATATATTTTTTCTAACACAAAATGGAAAGACCAAACCTTTGGCAATCCCAGTAGTGGCGTATTCTATGTTTTTCAACATCAGACCATGGGTAGTCAATTGAATATTTAAGAGGTAATGAAAACGCTTCCATGTTCCAGAATGAGATTTGGAGTATTGTTTGTATGCTGTTTGGAGTGGCGTTTTCCCCACAGGTGCAATTCTTAGTTGTTGTCACCATTGATAGAAACATCTTGGTAAATAACCATCCCAGTAGTACTATCCTGTTGAAACAGCCAGGCTGTCAGAATCCCAAACAGCTGCATTTAGAAATCCCAGACTCTTTCAGAGTAGAAACATCCCCAGGACACATTCCTTCAGCATATTTACAACTTAAGAGGTTGAAAGGAGCAAGTAAAGAAATACCAGCAAGCATCAGCTTTCAATGCACATCATTTCTGCCTGTGCCGTAAGTGAGTGCTGGGGTTGTCAAGGAAACAAGCAGCTGAGACAGTCAGGGTAATGTTGACCAATGCAGTTATTAAGAGGATAAAACATTAGATGGCCACGTCTATATATTGCAGCAATCTATTTCCCCCAAATATGAGAAGGGGACCACTGCTTCTTGAAAGCATTTCATAGGGTGCTAAATAGCAATGAGACTACTGTCAATGTGCTGGTACTGGTGTACAAAGCCCTATACAGCTTGGGACCAGAATCATAGCTGTCAACTTACAGATTTGAAAATAAGGGATCAGCAGCCTCAAAAATAAGGGATCAGCGGCCAAAATAAGGGATTTTAGTCAACCAGCTGAAATGCAAAGTTAAAAGGGACCATATAATTTTGGAGAGCAGCGCCGGTTTTTAGCCCTTTGTTTCCAGAGGTTGCTGCTAAAGACACCAGCTAATGAAACACTGCAATTAAATAACTACAAGCAGCAATCACTTTTCGCACAAAACGAAGTCCAAGCTACGAAGATGCTGCTGCAGTTCTGTATCTTTTCTCTCATGCTCCATCTGCAGCTCTCAGTTCCATCAGGCGGGGTGGGAGGAAAAGGCGGGGGGGAAATAGTGCCCGAAGTAAACGCGCAGATCAGACCATCTATGCTAGTCTACCACTACAAATCTTTGGGAGAAGTGTTTGCGGTCCTTCCTCCACTTTCCCCCTCTATGGTTAGCCCTTGGAACACCTGCCCGCACCTCCGCCTCCTCCTCCTCTCTCTGAACTGCTTTTTCTATGGTTGCCCTCGCTCTCCTCTCAAGGCTCCTCAGCAATTCATAGGCCATGTCAGGCTGCCCATCTCATCTGGGTCCTTCTACGGTGCAGCCGCAGTACGGCCTAGCGGGAGCGGCAGCGACGGCGGCAACGGGCAAAGGGGAGACCCCAGGCAGAGACGCTCAGTTTGGCGGCCACGAGGAGGATGGTGGTGGAAGGGCCCGAGGCTCCCGCCAGTCCCGAAAGGGAGGGGCTCCTGGGAGCTGAGGCTGGTGAGAGGAGGCCAGAGGGGGGCGGGCCGGGCAGCCAAGCAACACAGTTGGAGCCTCCCTCCTCCCTGGCCGGCAGGGAGGGAGGGAGAGGAGCTGCTTCCTTTGAAACCTGGGAAATTTAAGAGACATCATCAATAAGGGACAGCAGCGGGACATGGCGCTGGGATAAGGGAGTTTCCCGCCAAATAAGGGTGGTTGACAGCTATGACCAGAACCCCTAAAAGATAATCTCCTACATACCCAACCAATCACTCCATTCTGAAGGAGAGGGTATCCTGCAAATATCAGGAAGGCCATTCCACACTATGTCAAATTTGGGCATTGAGTGTGATGTCACCTAACCTTTAGAACGTCCTCCCATTACCTATCAGACAGACACCTTCCCTACTGTCTGTTCAGCATCTGCTAAATATGTTCCTCTTTCAACAAGCTTTCTAAAATCCTTGTCCCAGTTGGTATCTGTCTTGAATTTGAATTCAGCTGACTGGAGCAGCCCAGCCAGATGGGTGGGGTGGTGGTGGTGGTATTATTATTATTATTATTATTATTATTATTATTATTATTATTATTATTATATTTGCTGTTGCTGTTTTAAATTGATTTTGTATTTGTAATTGTTTTTTTAATTTATTTATTTTATATACCCAAGGGCTTTGTTTTATAAACGTCATGATATTGTACATCGCTTCAGGATGCTTCACAGGAAGCAATTCATAAATATGATTATCAACAACAACGTATCTTAACCGAGTTTGCTCCTGATAGACCCAGAATAACCAATTATCATGTTATTGGCAGTTGTTTAGAAACAGAGAGTTATATATCAAGCATCCAGGAGGATAAACACTCCTGGACACTATAGGTCATTTCATCTGATTAAGTTTGCGACTTAATAGCCTCTCTCACTGCTACCTCGAATCTGCACAGACATACAGAATTCCAACAGTATAACCCTTAGTCTGTACATACTTGCAGTATTTCCACATTAATAAAAGAGCTGTGACAAATGTTAAAAGTCTCAGAGCTCCAATTAAAGTCAAACGCAAATCATTCAGTGACTCCTGTAGGTCATAGGATTGTGTTCGACAAAGGTATACTTGAAGCGCCTTTGAAAGCTACGCTTTGATTTAGTCTTAAGTCCACTGAGTTCCCTGGAACTATTGTGAATATGACACAGTGAACATCTCCTTAGGTATTCCCTCCAAAGTAATCTGTACCAAAGCAGCACACATGATTTTTGATCACAAGGTGAAAGTTTGTTCCCATGCCAACACAATCGGTTGTTAAGGACATTCTATAACAGTGAAATCGGAACAGCAAAGAAAACACCCGTAAGGTGGCATTAAAATCAATTATTACCAATGCTGCTGTAACCATAATGAATCCACTGTCAAGAAGCCTGGAACAAAGATTTTAGACTGATATTTAGAGACAGTAAGATACCGTTGTCAAAGGCACCAATTGTATGCAACTTAACAGCTGCACAGGAGGAGGAGTTTAGAGACTTTTGTTTCCCCTTTTATAGTTAACCAAAGTTTGCTATGCCATCAGAAACTGATTAACATTAACCATAGTTAGTTTAAGCGAGTGCTATGCCAAATCCTGGCCCATTTTCAATTATTCTGTTTCAGGCAATGTTTTCCTGCTTTTTTCATAAGGGTGAGGGAGAGAACATAGAAGAAATTTCTTTTAGGGGTGGTGGATTGGTCTTTTCTTTTAAACTTACTATATGAGGTGACTGAGATAGTCAAAATGTGGTAAGCAGCAGAGCAGGGCTCTTCACACACACAGTTTTCCTTGCCTGCAACACATCCTAGACTTCCCAAATGACCACTCAGATGGCCACATCAATCAGAATGGTTGTTGTTGTTGTTTACTAAGGAAAGCTTTATGGGTGAATCTATAGTACCCAACTACAGGTGTTAATAGAATGATATAGGAAGCCGCCTTATGCTGAGTTAGACCATTGGTACATTTAGCTCACTACAGTCTACACCGGGGTCAGCAACCTTTTTCACCCATGGGCCAGTCCATTGTCCCTCAGACCATGTGGGGGGCTGGATTGTATTTTTTTGGGGGGGGAATTCCTATGCCCCACAAATAACCCAGAGATGCATTTTAAATAAAAGCAAACACTCTACTCATGTAAAAACACACTGATTCATCTGACCATCTGCGGGCCAGATTGAGATGCTGAACCATGCCTTAGGTTGCCTACCCCTGGTCTACACTGACTAACAGCAGCTTTCTGGGGTTTCACAAAAGAGTGCCTTGAGATGCTGGAGAATGAACCTTGTACTTTATGCATGGAAAGCATGTGCCTTATGAAATAATGAGCATAATCATAATGAAGAAACAGCTACCATACATCAAAATCTATCTCTTTCCTGTATGGCTTTACATATTACAGTTTATGTTTCCATTATCAT